GCTGCTGCTGCTGCTGCTGCTACAGCCTCGGCTAATTGATGACCAACAGCACAGAGAGAAAGTTGATCTGTCCTCGGGCCGGTCAGCCAGACACGTCACACACACACACACACACTTACCCCAGCCAGACAAAGTGGACAATGCCCCCCTGACCTTTTGAACTCTGCTTGTCCTCTGTGTGACCGGCGTGTGAGCTCTCGTGGTATTTGCTGCTGCGCAGGCGCATCCTTTTAGAAAGACAGAAGGAAAAAAAAGAAGAAATTATTATTATATATAAATTATAAAATTACAAAATAATTAGCACGAGTCCAACCCTTAAATATGAATTAATTTAAATGTTGGAGAATTTTTTTTATGAGAATAATAATCACATGAGTAAACAGTCATGAAATCCTTATTTCATGTTTTTTTTTTTACAATTTGTGATAAAAGTGATTAAAAAAATTATAAAACTACAATACAATGTTCAATTTAAATACTCACCAAATTTTAACAGTGAGCATAAGAGGATTTGGGGCAAAAAAACCAAAACTTTTTCTTAGAATTCAGAAAAACAAATGTCAACGCTCAGAGAACAGGTGAAAAACCAAATATAAAAATAGAATTTAAATTAAACTGTGAGACATTAAAATCACTCAGTTTTCAATTAAACTGTGAGACATTAAAATCACTCCGTTTTCAAAACCTTCAGAACCAACAGAACCAACACACGCAATGTAAACAAAAAGGAAAGTAAAAAAGAACACTGTCCACCAGGTGGAGAACTGAGCTGTGGCAACATGGAGGAAAAAAAAAAAAACAACCACCCACAGATGAAGACTCGATTCAGTACAGATGTACAAACGGACTTTATCAGACAGTTCATACAGTGACGTCACACCAGATAGGGACCTGGGAATTGGATTTAAATGAGTCACACATGTGATCCTGAACAGCCCATAAATGAGTATGAAACAAGTGTCACTTATCGTTAATGAGGTCATTAATTAAGGCCGTAACTGCCCGTTGTTATGACATGACAATAACCACAAGGAGATCTTTTTTTTTTTTTTTCTCTCGTTGAAACCTCATGTGACGGCTCTCTCACACAGCAGAGTGGCTGGACATCCCATAATAACCCCCCACAAACACTGTGTGTATCTCTCTCTACAGAGTGCAGTTCTATAGCAGAGCCTGATGTGACTCCGTTTGTTGGAGTTTTTTTTTTTTTGGCTCTTTGGTTTCACCGTACAGTGAAGCACAGAGGAACTGGCACCAGGTCAGAGGTCAGAGGTCAGCGGGGATTAAACCCAGTCCATACTGGTCACAGTGGTGGACTGAGCTGCTGGACGGTCTGAGTCTGAGTAACGAGAAAATGAAACATGGTGTGGCTCCTGTAGGTGTGTGTGTGTGTGTGTGTGTGTGTGTTAGCGTGTTAGCGTGTTAGCTTGGTCCAGTGTAAGGTGAACTCCACGCTGGCAGATGTTCTCTGTTAAACACAATGGAAACAGGGAGTCGTTTTACACACAGTAACTGCACACACACATGCACACACACACTCGCGTGTATGTGTGTTTTGTTTTGGGTTTTTTTTTTTTTACCTCAGTGATCTTGAAAATATCTACTGGGTTTTCTGGAGCAAAGTTTAACTGGATCAACTCTGAGTTCTGTGTTTTTTTTATTTCATTTTTTTTTATAAAATCTGCAATAATTTAACTCCAGCATGAAATATGAAAGTCTGAAGCATCTCAGCATCTGTGCACAGCTTGAATTTTTGGGGGAGTTGAAATAGTTTGCAGATTAGACTGAGTCATGTGGCAACGAAGAGGAAGAAGATGTTATTTATAAGAAACAGATTTGTTGTTTTTTTTTTTTTTTTGCAGTTCGTCCTCTAACCCTGACCCTCACCTACAGACTCTGCAGCACCCACTGACCTACAGTGCGGTTCTGTGCCCCCTACAGGCCAGTGTACCTCTGCAGCGCTGCTGGGTTTTAAACTACAGACCTCTGTGTTCTCCGTGACCTCTGTGACCTCTTATCTGACGCGGTGGAATTTGTTTGGCTGCGACCGGTCAGTGGGTGAGCCGCTCCGCTTGGTCCAGATATTCAGTGGGTCGAGGAGTGTGTGTGTGTGTGTGTGTGTGTGTGTGTGTGTGTGTGTGCCAACTGGGTCAGAGTCAGAACCTCCCTCCGTCTGCTGTCCCCACATTCTTGGCACTTGACTTCTGTTTGGTCCAGCAGTTTACACTGGATTTAGTGTTTTGTGGATTTTTCTGTTTTTTCGGAGGGGTGAGGAGGGGGAGGGGTGAGGAGATGGGGGAGGCTTGGTTTCAGCTTATGGCCGCGAAAGGTTTTTTTTTTTGTTTTTTTTTTCCAAAAGTCTGACGACTTAGTTTGGAATATTTAAGATGATTTCCATTCCAACTGCTGCTCTCTGTGCTGATGCTCCAGCAGCTGAGTAATCTGAAATGTGGCCTGCACAATGACACACAAGAGACACACACACACACACTCACACACACACACACACACACAGGGCGCAATCATTTGAATCATTTCACACAGAGAAATCTGGAACTCTTCATTTACCCTGTGTTCATGTCTGTGTGAATGTCTGCTGGGTTGTGTGTGTGTGTGTGTGTCAGGGTTACAATGAAATATGCACACCATGAAGTGTTCACACACACACACACACACACACACAGACACACACGGGGGCAGCCGGGGGATCAA